CAGTGAAAGACAGAATCCCAAAGAAAATTCCAGAAAATCACATCATATGAATTTATAAAAATTGATAACCATCTGATGAGGAAAAATAAGCATTCTTTGTAAGTGGGCAAACCTGCAAAATCAGCAAGGGGTCAAATACTTATTTCCCCCACTGTACATTAGTTACTGAGGACAAAAATCACCACCTTGTGTCACCACTGGTCTAAAACGAGTGGATAAAATCCACTCTGTGTGTCCTGTTTAGCACTATGCATCTATTATGAAGTACATCAGCCAGCCTCCTCTGCTGCTGGACGTCCACATCCACAAGCCTCTGCTTCCCGCCCGCACCTGGATGGACTCTCTGCTGGCCTTCTTCCCCGGCCTGCAGGTCAGATTCTCCGCACACGACCAGAGGAAGATCGCGCTCTGGCTGGATATCGTGCTCGTTCGGTAACCCCTTCCATGCTGTGTGTAACCCAGGTGCTGAAGGGAGACATCCGTCCTGCCATCGAGACTCACGAAATGTTGTACCAGGTTACCAAAAAGCACAACTTCCTCCCAGAGGTAACGTTTCCGACTCGTTTCTGGCTCAGAAACGGAGCGACTGGTTCTTTTTGTGTCGCATTTGCTCTGGAGCTCCATCCGTCAGCTTTTATTTCCTCTCCCGGGATGAGAGTGCTGACCCCCTTTGTCCTTCTCCCTCTGTCCCCAGGCTTTCACTACTGATTTCAGGGTACACTGGGCACAACATCCCCTGAGACCTGAGTTTGCAGAGAGCACCTATTTCCTCTACAAGGTAATTTATCAGCATCCAAACAGCCTGGACGTCGTCTCTCACAGCAGCTCAGCATGCAAAGCACGTCATTATCCGCCCTTATCTCTCAATAAGAGAACTTATTGATGCTGACTCTGGTTCTTCCAGGCCACGGGAGACCCGTACTACCTGGAGGCAGGCCGCACCATCATGGACAACCTCAACCGCTTCGCCCGGGTCCCTTGTGGCTTCGCTGCGATGAAGGACGTGCGGACAGGCAGCCACGAGGACCGGTCAGTGTATAAAGACACACAAATCAAGCTGTCCTTCACCAAACCTGATCAGGAGTAAATGATCAGGTTTAAAAGTGTAAAATAAGTCCTCTGTTGGGCATTAGTCAGAGTACACATTATTCGTTTTTGCCAGAAAATGATAAAGAATAATGATTATGTCCAGTTAAAGGAAAGAAAATAAATGTAGATTTATGGGGAGAGCGACTGTCACAGGATCAGTTTTTTTTAATTATGTTTATTGAATTTCCCCCCCAAAAATACACATAAGTCACATACAGTGGGGCAAAAAAGTATTTAGTCAGCCACCAATTGTGCAAGTT